AATTCCCAAGAACTATATCTTTGACTAGCCTACTATACATCAAAAACTTGTATGACATTCATACATGAGCTGGATATTCCAGACTTCTTTTCTTTTTGCCATTTTACTTCTAACAGTTTAACTTTTAGTATTTCTCCTACTTCCAGAAAAAGCATCCAACTTCATCATATGAAAGGCTTTCTTCTGGATCCCTCTCTTATCAGTCAAATGCCTAGTAAACACTTTTACTAACAGTTTGCAAAACAAATATTGCTTTGGATATCACATATCTGTTAGCCTTTGTTTGCGTCTGAAAATGATTTCTAGATTCCATGAATATCACATAACTATCCAAACTTTCGAAGTTCGGGTCTCATGGAAGCAAACATATTGCACTTGACTGAAAACGGAATTCTAGCTTTTGGATCGAAGGACGAGAGTCATATGATCCATAGCATTAGCGGGAGAATACCGAAAGTATGCGATAGGACAAAGTCCTTCTCGGCACTCTTGAGGACAATCCTGACATTACATTACCAACTGTAAAGTTTTAACAAGATATTTAACAGCTATTCAATTTTAATACGGAAGGTGGAAACTCGAGCCATTATTCTATAACTATTAGCAAATCACACTTGACAGTGTTCAAAATTAATTGCACTAAGAATTAAACAAGTTAATTCTAGAGTGCGCTCCCACTCAAATCAATATCTCTCATAATTGATTGTGAGTGATTCAAGATCCACATTTCAATTCAATGCCATTGATGTGGACATCACTGATGACGAGAATTTCAATTGGTGGGTAACATGCCGATCACATCTCTATGTGACTCTTGTTCATCTTTCGATGCTTGTGTTCCGAGCTCAGGACGATCAAGCTAGAACGTCAAGACAACCAAGTGATCACGCTGCAAGGTCTGACCTCACCCGCCTCACACATCCCTAATCGTTCGTACCCATGTGGACATGGCGCACCCCGAAAAGTTAGGTGCCGTGACGGTGCTACACTTGGAGAACACTAACTACTTGATATTTTTGTGAGAGATCACCCTAATAAAAAGCGACTACGGCGCAATCAAGAAGGGTGCATCAAAGGGATAAACATCTCAGGCAATTCATAATAGCATGATATGGTATAGCCCTTTCCGACGGAGAAGTCTTTCATTTCTTCGTCTTCGGCATTTGCGTCGGTGTTCACCATCGCGAAGATTGCCACCACCTTGTCGATGTACCAGATAATATTGCTATCTCTATAGCTAATAAAATAATGCATTACACAAGGTTGACACGTAGGTCATTTGAAGTGCAATCATATGGCTCCAGCCATCATGCCAAATCATGACACGCAGGTCATGTTTAATCAATTTACATCATATAGACATCTCATACATAATCAGATTATTATGAGCACTCCTATACCACATCACATGCAAACCATCCTGCAAAACCAAGTTAGACGCCTCTAATCGGTTCATGCAAAAACTGGTTTTTCGTGGCTTCTAAGGTTTTGACTTAAACCGCAGCTACCAACGTTTTATCATCAAGTATGATTATTCAAGTCGCTAGATTAACTTCTCGGGATGTATGAAGCACGAGATAATAAAATCTCGAACCCCATACTAAACTTCGTCATACGCATGACCCCCGTGCAGATCATATCTGCAATGCCCTTTCATCTGCGAATTTCATCTTTCTTTTGACTACGGCAGAACGCAAAGAACTGATAGCACTTCCATGATCAATCAGGATCACGGATTTCCAGAACTTTGTCAAATTCCACCATGCTGTCCCGAGATTGAGCAAACGCAAATTCTAGGGAAGCAACAAGAACGTCGGGTAACAGATTTCATCTGTCACCCGCATAAATAATTTTCAGCAATAGATCTCATCTACTCCAAAATTATATTATGCAATACCCATACATCTCCATGTATTCTAGATCGTAACCTGCATCTACGCATAGCACGGCTCTTGATGCCACTGTAGGGGAACGCAGCAGAAAACAAAAATTTTCTGACCTACGCACCAGCCCAGGACCACTATGGAGACTGCATACATGGTTTGATCTTTTTCGTTACCAACTCGTAGCGCAGCGGGAAGTAGAGTCAATGACGAACGGTGGTGCAGATCCCCACAGCTAGGATTTACAACCTCCCAACCGTGAGGATGTATACCCTCATCTGCTCCTCAGACACCCCTCCGAGAGGCGGTTGAACAGCCCCCCGGACGGTGTCACGGACAGCCCTTCGGGAGGACCTTCAAAACTCGGACGGTCACTCGGACAGCCCTTTGGGAGGACCTTCAAAACTCGGACGGTCACACGGACAGCCCTTCGGGAGGCACTCACGAACTAAGACCGAAAGTACGATCTCTCTACAGAGTTGCACACATACGGTGTCATCTATCCAGCAGGGAACCCAGACAGCCTTACGTCTCTACGAAACTGTTTCGTTGGGAGGGAGAGAGAAGCCAGATCATGCATGGCACTTGTATGTGAGAAAGAGTGAGTGTGGAGGGCTGCCCCTCCACCTCTATTTATAGGAAATCCCAAGGGGTAGGGTAGTTTAACACAAAACCCAAAATGCACATGAATGAAGTCCTTCCTCAAGGGCATAAGAGTGAAACCAAGGAACAAGAGGGGCTCCAAGGTGGAGCCCCAAGTGTGGCCGGCCACACCCCTTGGGGGGCCCCCATGAGGGCCTCCCAATCCATCCATGTCATCCCTAGATCTATTGAGTAAAGCCCCAAAAGGTGGCTTTCCATAAAATATCCCAAAAAGCACTTTCACTATTCACGACGAAATTTTTCAGCGTCCGTTCGAACTGAAAATATTTGTGTGGGCTTAGAGCATTTCCAATACCCACCATAATAATTTTCAACGCGTTCTGGAACAATTCCATTTTAGTGATTTTCATCTGCGAAACGCATCTGAAGTGGCTCCGGCAGCTCCGGAACATTTCCGGTTTTTATCTCAGAAAATTCCAAAAAGCTTCCAGAATGATTCTGGCACCCTTCAAGAATTATCAGGCATGTGCCGAAACCAATTAGACTTAATGGTATATCTCGAAACAACTTTTCGGTATCACCGAAACTTATCCGATGACCTCTCTTTGCGGTACGATTCCGCTGTCCGAAACCATTCCGGTGTCCGAAACTTTTTTCGGTGATTTTCTCTCAGACTCCCTGTCTAGTATTCAACAGATAGATGATCCTTAAGCGTGTGGCCCTATAGGTTCGGTGAAGTATAGACATGACCCAGAACCCCTTCGGATCAATGATCAACATCGGAGCCGTGGACACCCATATTGACCCCTATAGCCACACGAATGAATATTCGAGTGAACTAAATTGAAAATCTCTATATCTCGGAAGCCGAGGCCTCACAAAGATTTGGGTTTAGTACATATGTCCCAAGAGACCCAACAAGGCTTCCTCTTACCCCTTTTAATACCCCACCAGAATTGTCGAATCATAGATGTCACGCTCTCACAAATGCCACGTGGTAATCTGAAGCATGCCATAGAATAAACTGGGATTGCTTGAGCAACCGCTTTTATCAACACTTCTTTCCCTACATATGACAATAACTTTTCCATCCATCCCTTGATCTTTTCCCAAACTATGTCTCTCAAGTATTTAAAGGTACCATTCCTTGAGTGACCTACATCTGTCGGCATGCCCAAGTACCTCTCATTGAGTTGTTCATTATGCACATTAAGAGAATTCTTTATACCTTCACGAACGGACTGAGGACATTCCTTACTGAAAAAGATGGATGATTTCTCATTGTACGTGAGGTACTAGGCGCATAAGCCCAGAGAACTAGCAAACTACATAAGCCCAAGCCCACTACGAGCTTGACACTCGTAACTCTTAAGCCATCGTGGCTTATAAACTGCGTGTTCTTTTCCACCATGGCGATCTGGCGCCGCCAAACAATCAGTCGATCGTAACTTTGTGCCTCGCTGCTAGGGCTTGCCGCCGCTCCCCGTCCGCATGCACCGTGGACGACCAAACCAGGACACCTCCGTGATTCAGCCGTGGTATTAGGGCTCATGAACTCTGTTGATTTTGCACTCCCGCCGGCTGTCCGGCCAATCAGGTATTTTATCACGATACGTATACCTATTTACTTGATGAAGCACTGAATTTTAAAACCAGATCTGTGTACACAATCTACCACTATTTAGTTGTTTTCCAGAATTACAGTATACAAGGTTAATTTGTACACTATTCTATAAAACGATCTACTAATTTACTGATAATTAGCGTGTGTTTATTTTTCTAAAAGAAATATGCATCACATGATTGTTACTGTTGGAAATAAATACCCAAAAAGGTCATCTCGGATGAGATAATTAACTTGCTTGTTGAGCGAGACATGGTCATCATAGAGATTAAGTGAAAATAAATGTATTATTATTTCCAAAGCATATGCTTGGTTATCAATACACTATCTATACCAAGACCTAGTATATTGTAATGTGTGATGTCTTCTTCGCCCCCCTCAAGTCTAAATCCTGGCTCCGCCCCTATTCACCGAGGCGGGGTCTTTTTTCTTCTTCTGTTCTTTTTTTTTAATGTGTGTATCCTTGATGTGTTTGGATATCTTGTTGGTACAGAGACCGAGTATAATTAGTACCGTAAGCAACCCTACACTGCATAGACGTGTGATGTTTAAAGAAAAGAAATTGCGTAGATGTGCGAAGTATTTCTTCAGCCGATGACCCACATCGACATGTGTGTCGCCTGCTCATAGGCTCATAACGCAGGTTGGCTGCTATGGCACTATCTTGGATCATGGCAAGTTGGAGGCCTGCGTTTCTTTCCTCTGGCAAACGCTTCGGCGACGGCAGTGGCTGGATTCTTTGGCGATGGTGATGTAAATTTCTTTGTGTGCTGTCTCTCCGGACTATTTCAGAGTGAAGTCATGTATGCTGTATTTTGCTACTATGAATGAACACATGGTTCTTCAAAAAAAAAAGTACGAGCACCCCTCCAGTGGCTAACTCGAATTTCCTAATCTGCTTTCAAAATGGAAACCACGTTGCTGCCTGTGCTACCAATATCTTTTTCTCCTTCATCAGGAATTTCTATCACCGACACTTTGCTTCTGTGTGCAACTGCAACCCTGATATATCAAAGAGAACACACACTTTACTAGTCTGGAATCTTAGGAAACAAAAATAATGTAAAGGATTACTACATCATAATAACTAAGCAGGCAATAACGGGGCTAGTAGTACAAAACTAATAACTGGAAAAACATACCTTGCCGACCCCATCAAACATGCGAAACCAGTAACCCAGTCACTGACCCCAAGTTCAAACATTTTCTTGAGCCTGAGAAATATAAAGCACTCACTAATTTACCATATTTAGAGGCTAACCGGCATACGTGTGCAATGCGATGTAGAGTTATCGTGTTCTGAAGGGGTGTGTGTGCGCGCACGTGTTTCATAAGGGCATACTCTCGTGATTACCTGAAATCAGTGGAGCTCCACACGTGAACATTACCCTTAGCAGTAGCTACAGTTAGAAATGGAAGATTGGGATGGGAAAAGACGCAATGGACTGCAAAGTCATGTTCGAGTGTATGAACGCATTCCTCCTTCTGCATCTCCCATATCTGTTTTGAAAAGAAGAAGAAAATAAGGCACACATATATAAGAAATGCTAGATGCATGTTATATTAATGTACTTTCCAACATATCAGTCAACCTTGGCAGTCTTGTCCTCAGAGCCACTAATCAAATACCGCTGACCATCACGCGTGAAGAAATCCAGGCCGTACACGTTACCCTTATGCCCAGAGAGAGTATACTTGGATTTGGGAGAATCAAGACTCCAGACCTGAACACCAACCATATATAAGTACAGTAGAAATGAAACGTACTCCATCCTCAGCATTGCATCACAAAGGTTACTTAGCAAGCAAACAAGAGAGAGAAAGCAAAACCTTCACTGTATGATCAAACGAAGCACTTGCAAAGATGTTCGTATCCTCTAGGTTAAATTTTAGTCCATAAATAGTACTTGAGTGTTCTTCAAATGTCTGTATGCAATTCCAGTCCTGGTCCCAGTCCCAAAGCCTTATTTGCGTACCACATCCTGATAGCACATACGGCTGGGTTGGATGAACGTCTAATGAACACCTTTCTATGTCAAAAGAATCGTGAGCTTTGAAACTCGTGACCTTTTCCAGTTCCTGTTCATGCTTGTATACATGGACGAAACAATCACATGACACAGCCACAAGCCACCGCTTTCTTGTAATAAATTTAACAGTACATACTGCAGTGAGGGCAACCGTCTGGTTAGCATATCATTGTACAGCTGTATATATGGTGTAAGAAAATTATGTTAAGATGTCAAAGAGCTTACCTGTTTCATCTGAGACATTAACCCAAGAGACCACTTTCTGCCAGTAAACATAAACGAGTCATTTGTTCGTCCAATGTGAAAAAAATAGATTGGTATATTAGCCAACAAAAATTGAGCTTTTGGTGATCACCCTTTACATTTAATCGTTGCAATTAAATTGAAATACTACGGCGGAAAAAAGTGGGCAAAAATATTTGCCAATATGGTGTGCTGTTTTCTTGGCTGTGGGCAAAAACTCCGACATTATGGTACGACTCCCATCAACCATCACCAAACATAGACTTTTCCTACTATTTGGCAATCAATGGAATCTGTATATGCACTTATAAACTAAATGCTTGAGCCCCGAGCATCTTTCTGATGCAAAGGGCAAGTGGCCATAATTTTCGTTCTTTATCCAAAATACTAGCAAACCAAGCAATATATAGAGGTAACTTGCCTGCGTGTCATAGTTCGAAATCTGAACATCACCAAATTCGCAACCGGTTATAATCCTGTATGATAATGAGGTATTAAAGCAGGTAACCACATCCAATGCACTGACTTGAAAAGGAAGATTAAAGATTAAATGCCCATATTATCCTACACTCTTACAATGGCTCTGTCTGATGTGCATCCATACAATATATCTCACCGACTGCATCATCTGTAATCTGACCAAAGAACATTCCTGTCAAAACTAGAGAAACCACCACCAAGATGGAAGGTCTTGGGAAGAGAAGAAAATGAAAACCTGAAGACTAATACCTGTATTAAAGGTTGGATTGTCTGCTATGTCGTCAATGCATCAAAGATGACAGACAAAAGGAAGCATCAGTACAATGCAACTCAATCACTGAAGCAGCATTATTCCAATGCCACAACACAATTAAACTCCTAAATGAATTTAGTTGGGATCTCTTTCTACCTTGATCATCTCGAATCATCTATCTTACAGAGTAGAGTAAATTCGTAGGTCTCCCGCAAATAAAAAGGAGTAAATTAGTAGGAACCTTATTTTGTTTCTTTGGCACATAACCATCAATATTGGAACAATGTCGTGACAAATAACGCCGATATGCCGATTAGCTTATTTTAACAACAAAACCGAATCATGGGCCTCGGTTTCTCTATCTCCCGAACAGATTCACGCGTGCATAACCAACACCGGAAAAGTAGCCGCCATGAATCATCGCGCGAAGGCAACCACTCAAAGTCACAAGCCACCAGTACGGCCACCCATGCAAGCGCCTGCATGCCTTGTAGCAACAGCGCCTCGACGGCGATGCACGCCGCCCCCGCTGTAACCTGCACTAGCAGCGCGTAGCCGCAGCAGACCAGGCGTCCTGGTACCACCCACCGGCAGTGGACCGCAAGGTGACAGGCTCGTCATCGGTAGTGGAAGTTGGCACGAGCGGCAAGCACGGCGGCGTGAACATGCGCATTGAGGCGTCCACGATCTTCACGGTGAAGGAGCAGGACACCATGCGGCAGCTCTTCGTGGGCCGATGACATGTACTTCTACAACCGCCACTTCAAACCACACAGTGCTCGTGCTCGAGCGCCAGATGGCGGCGCTCGAGGGCACCGAGGAGGCGAGAACGCCTATTGCACCGCCTCTAGCTCGCCGACATGGGCGGCCATGGTGACAATGATTCTGCCCTAGTGTGGCCCGCTGGCCCGGGGCTCTACGTGAAGACCATGGCCAACTTGACACGCTCGCCATGGCAAATATCCGCATGCTTGAGCGTGTCACGTGGGAGTATCCCCGACGCCCATAGTCATGTTGCCCGCCCGGCTCGACGCCAACAACGTCATTGTCCCCAGTCCGCAACATCTCCAAAATTATCAGCGGATGGGCAGCGCACACACGTTTTCCAAGTTTGTTGGACGTCCGCCCGGCAAGGTGCGGATGTCGAGTGTCGACCAGAGTGCACGGAGCGCCTGAGCCCAAACTCTGGCTTGCCGTGCGCTCGATCGGCTAAATGGCTTAGGCCACCTGAAGAGATTGGGGATCAAGCTCCACGTGGTAGGTGTCCGAACTAACGGCAAAGGGATCTAGGAGGAAGACATCATGCTCGCGGAGATAATTAGGTTGTTAGACTAATGTTTGTATGGGGAAAAAAGCAAAAGAAAAAGAAAACTAGGTTATTGGACACCAACCGAAGGTTTATCACGGACTAGATCGGTCGGTGTGGCCACACAGTGGTGGCGGGCAACACTGACCTCTCCGGGCATGCCGAGTAGCAACAAGCTGGAGACCGAACGGTGCTACGGACGCCAAGATTGACTGTGCCAAGGGCTGCCACTCCACGGAGCTTCATCCCGGACGCACCCTCTCGTCGCCGGACGAGCTCCAAGTCTCCGGCCTCAACCCCACCCAATTCTGGGAAGGAGACGATGGAGGAGGGGACAGAGAGGAGGGATGAAGATGACAGGTAGGGCATATGTCTACGTCAGCTTAAAATCACATGTGTTGCCAACTCAGCTTGACAACCAATGCCCACCCGTTAGTTTCACAGTTAGAAAAAGCTAATCGACGAATCAGTGCTATGTGCCACGAACACTGCCGTGACAGGATTGGTTAGTGACTACTGACTACTGACTTTTCTCATTTGAATAGTAAAATTTAAAATAGTACCAAGTGATTTTTGGAATGATTTTGTACAAAAAGCTACATCTATGTTCTTTATTTTTGCATAGTATAAAGACATAACACGACTAAATTATGTGGATGAGCTACGTAATCTCAGGTTCGGCCGTTTGTGGTCGTGTTTTCTTTTTATTTGCTTTATTGTTTGCTACTTGGTGACCTCAACTTGTTTCACGTTTAATAATAGGGCAGTGATCTGCGCCGGCGCGCCGGCCCAACTTTTGGGCCGGTCAAGCCCTAGCCGTTCGATCTGGCCTCCAGGAGTCATCCGATCTGACCTCTCCCACCTCGATTTGTTTTCTTCGTCCTAGTCAACGCATACCAGAAAAAAATCCCCCGCCTCTGCCCCCACGCGACTCTGCCTCCTGGGTACAGCTCCGCGAGGGCAACAGCCGCCGCCCGCCGCCCACCGGCCGTCCACACCCCGAGGCCTCACATCCCCTCCCCTACTAGCCGAAGAACCTTCTCCTGCTCATTGATTTCAGTTTGCAGCTCTGTCTAGACTCGTTGCAACTCCCTGACATCGATGCAAGAAACCTCACTGCTAGTAGCAAAAATCAACGACAGTTGCAGCACTGCCTCGTCCCTATCCATCCCAAAATGTGCTACAAAAAACGAGATGCTGGAAACAGCAGTCGCATTTGCTGGAACTGACGGCTATGGGTGTTGCCACCAGCAAGACGAGCTGCTGGAAACGGCGGTCAAATTTGCTTGAACCGGTGACTGCATATGTTGGGACCGGCAAAATCAAATGTTTGAACTATGGTTTCCAAAAGCTACTACCGGTGAAAAAATTGCTACAACCGACGAATCAAAAAATACTACTATCGAAAAGGAATTGCTGCAACTGGCAAAATCAAAAGCTGGAACCAGCAACGCAGGAAGCTACTGTCGGTGATTAGAAAAGATGCAAGCGACTAATCAAAAAGTTGCAACATGTGATTCTGAAACTGGTACTGGCGATTCAAAAAGCTACAACCAGCTGAACAAAATGCTACAACCAGTGATTTCAAAAGCTGGAACCAGTGATTTCAGAAAAAAAAAGATGCAAGAAATAGATTATGAAGAAAAGTTTGAAAG